CCGTCAGGCAAATAAAATTCATGTTCCAACGATCGCATCTTCTTCTTCTGAACTGCTTCCTGGGACTCAAATATTCTCTACTATTGGCTGGCAGACGATGGCAGTCTTCCATGAAGTCAGCCTGGAGGGTGGCGAGTCCGCGTTTCTGGAGCATCAGATAGTTCTGAAGTTGAACGTTGGGGGTGCCAGCACGGGACCCTTTAAAGTTGTGCGTCGACAGGGCCTGCGTCAGGGAATGAATCATGCAGAACTACTGGCCGACAAGTACAGTCAACTGGATGGTCAGCCCTCTATCTTGTGCTTCTTTTTATTATACGAACACTGTATTGCTTTATCTGCCTCATGAGATGTCAGCCAAAAATATGGACAAGAGGTTTTGATTCAAGAAGATTGCTTACATAGGCTGAAGCATAATTCTTAAATATGTTCAGTCACATTAGGATTTTGTCTCTTGAGCGAGCTTCTTTGCATTGGCCTGCCAACGATTTCTTAAGAAGTATGTGTTGTTTCTCACAGATGATCGGTAATCTTTAAAGTAAGATATGTTTTATAGAAAATACGCATGAAAGTAGTCTTTCTTGTACTCACTTGGTAGCAAATTGCATCTTAGTATATCTGTCCAGGCGCCGTAAAACGCTTGTTCAAAAGCTGGTATCCCATCGTGACTGAAATATCCAAGGATTAGCCCGCACGGTTATTAATGTTAGAACCCAGATCAACTAATTTTTTTTGTTTTAAAAAGAAAAAGGCATTTTCGAATTTCGGCCAGCATTTATGGAGGCCGCATCTCTACTGTATGTTGTGGTCCACATTTATTGAATCATCGTCTACTTTTTTGCGTTACATTGCTTATTTTTCGCTACCATCTTCACCTAGTGGGCCATCTGAATATCCCCTTGCTGCAATAATCATTTTGTGCGTGCATTTAAAATAGTAAGAAAGATGCTGTGACTGTCCTGTAATCATGAGACGATTTGTCCCTTATTAAGTTCGGTCAAGTATCGTATCTGGCAGGACTGACAAAGAGAGGCCTTGCGGAATGATCTGGTGTGCACAAAGTCGTTTAAAAATTGTTATTTAAATTTCAAGCTGAAGCTTCATTTTCTAGGCTATTGTCACCTGCCTTTGCTAATATTTATACGAGCCCACTTTTTTTGCCTTGGCTGCATACAATTCGGGCTTTCTGCGTTGGCGTGAGGCTCAGTCCCATGCAGGGTTCGCGCATTACGAGAAAAAAACTGATAACCAGAAAAAAACTACTCCGTCGTAGTAGCATTGCGTGCTAGAGGCCAGCTATAGAGCCAAGAAAGAACCACTTTGCGGATGTGGATTGCGTGGAAGAATTATGCGTAGACTGCTTTTACCATGTCTGCTTCAGGTGCCCATACAACAAATACGATTTTGCCAACCAATAAACGTTAAGAAGAGGGGCTTTTAAGGGAGCTCTCCAGTGCGCTGGGAAGCTTACTCGTCTTGTTAGTACTCGGCGTTCACATCTACTTTCGTCATGTTTGGACCAAGTCCATTCACTTTCCTAGTCTTCTACGGCCTATTCCTCCAACGCCCTCTCTACGGACAGCTCAGAGTGAACCTCTTTCACACTGAAGGAGTCTGTGGACCCACTTTTACACTCTTTGACTACCCCTTCAGCGTCGTCTTCCCTGTGGAAGCCTTGCAAAGTTTGGAGGGCTGGCACCAACCTGGTGCACCACCAGCTGTGCGAATATATGCCAGCTTCTTCAAAATTCCAGGTTGCAATCTGAGACAAAACGGGCGATCTAGCGCTATGTTAGCCGCCCTGAGCACAATGAATGGCACAGCGGCCCTGGATAACGAGTTTGCTATCTTCATTGGTCCACCCATGACAGGCGACTGTGGCCTTGTGTCTGATTGGATATCCCTGGGTGACCAGGGTGATTCGCAAGACTTTGACCTCTATGAAATCAGCTATTTATGTCGTTGGAACAATGGATTTTTCGCCAATGAGTTGTCAGTCTTATTGGCCAAAGGTGAATATAAGAATTTTGAAGTCATCGATGTGTATCGGTTGTGGCCGGGGAGAACAAATTTCTCAGTCTTCAGACTGGAAAATGAAATTTATGACGGTTCTAACGCACCTCTCTAGTTTAGTTGTTTTTCAAGCCATACGGGTGATTTCATGTCTCATTAAATGTCAACCGAAATTCAGAAATGTATTTTAGATTAGGATAAGTTACTTGAGTATGATAGTAATATTAATTATTACAAAGCGGCATCCAAAATATTTCACCGGCAGAAAGTGCACTTAGTAACAGTGACATTTCCCGAGGTATTGAATCTACTCTATACATAATTCGAAATCGACATAGTAATGTATCATATAAGATCGCATATTCTGTCACCATGGTTAATGTTTCCTGCATTTTTTCCTTCATGCAAAAGGAGGCAGCAATCACGACAGTAACTCGTTGACTTTACAAACAGCTGGAACTACGTGGAACGATCATTAGATCGGCCTAGCATTGTTCAAACTAACCTGATCCTTCATTTAACCCAAACTGCTATAGTAGTGACCGCTAGGTGTGAAGCTCTCGAACTAGTAATTAATCGCCAATAGCTACTGTTCTTAATCAATGAGCGGACTTATAAGCATATCAATTAGTTTGGTTATTAAAATATTGAATTATTGAATTACTTATCAATGGCTATTGAATTGCGACAGCAAAATACTGCCTGATAATCCTAATAATTGTCATTGCTATTAGGTATAGTCAATTGGACAGTGGCGCGCACCAAAGCACTCCCCCGGTAGGCAAATGACGCTTCTCGTAAAAGACGACCTGCAAACCAAAATATCAGCAAGTATGTGCTCAGTAGCAATGCAGTAAACTGACGACAAAGTTGGTCAGCGTTTCTAATCTCTGTCAAACATGACGTTGCTGTTCTATATGTTTTTTTGGCAACAGTAGCTTGTGTAGCCCCACTCATTAATCCCCGCAACCTGCATGTTGTCCTAATAAAACTGTGTTTATCGGGTTTTATGGGCGGGAAGTTAAGACACGCAGTGGGATAAACCTTAATATGTGCTAAATGCATCTTTATTTTACTGTATTTTGAAGTGTTGTTGATTTATATCTGTAGATATTGCTAGTCTGTATTATCATTTAGCTTATTGCGGAAAAACCCGATTATCAAACTGCCGGTTTCTTGAATTTCCCGAAAAATTTGAATGGTGGTTAGGAGGTCGTCTACTTAAACTTACCTGTGGTCCAACTTACCGGTTCTGAAGTTAGATTAGTTAGCCCGCGGGGAGCGAAGCGCCGCGCACACCTTCAATTTACATGCGAAACAACTTACTCCCAGCGGCCGCGGAAATGCCGCGCACGCCTTCAATTTACATGCGGAGCAACCTGCTCCCAGCGGCCGCGGGAAGCAACTCACCTGAGGTCCAACTTACCGTTCTGGAGTTAGATTAGTATAGTCCGCGGCGCTAAGCGTGACATGCAAACGAAAATATCCGCAAGTACTAATAGGCCTACTGAATATGCGTTCAGTAGCAATGCAATTAACTAATTACAAAGCTGGCCAGCGTTTCCAATCTATGCCAAACATGAAGTTGCTCTTCAACATGTTTTTCAGCTATTATACTGCTTACGCGGCCGGCATTGGCGAAGGAGTTC